AAAGAATGACCATAGAAGAGACAACAATTTGAAACCGAAAATACACCTTTTTGTTGTACTGTATAATGATATTTTATACAATCGTTGACACCATTGAATTTTATTTCAACAATTTGAAGCCGAAAATGCACCTACTTTTTTTTGGGTCAAATTAATGTTGTTTCATTCATAAAGTCTTAACCTACAAGGCCAAAAGACAAGAGTTCGCAAGGTCCAATATGGCTAAAGTGTCTATTTTTACATTTGCAGCACAAGAGATAAAATTAAAAAATAGAAAAATGAAGAGAATGGAGAGGTTTCTGATATCGTGTAGAAGACTCGCAATCTCGTTCAAATCAGTCCTTGATCACAGGGCATTGATGAGGATATTAGAATCCAAATTAATACGGAGACAGTAGATATTCGATGCACGGGCCTTCCTAAAGGCCGAACAGAGTGTGAGTGCTTACGCCGTTAAGGCTGATTCTACAAAATCCCGATGCTCTAATCCTTGATCCATCGTTGTTCCAGATGATGAGATAATTAGCAATCTCATGTCGCTATATTTTGTCTCTAGTTTCCACGTACCTACTTAATTAGTAGATTAAATTCTTAATAAAAAAATATATGTAGATCTATTAATCAAAGAATGTATGTAGATCTATTTTGAGAATGAGCCAATGTAATACAACAGATAAAAATAATGGTGAGATTTTAGAGTTTTATCGTATAAATGATAACAAAAAAATGAAAATCACATTAGATAGAAAACGAATATAAAACAAACGAGTAAAAATGTCATTGAGTTTTAGTTGTTTTAAAACTGTAGTTATATATTTATATTATTCTCCCCAATTTTGATATAATTTGAAATTTATAAAAATAAAATATTGATAAAAAATCATAATTTTGAAGGGGAGAAAATAATTTTGGATTTATATAAATAAATATTGATGAAAAAAACAAAAATCATAATTTAAAGGGAAAAAAACAAAATTCGCAGAATAACCACCAAACAATTGAGGTTACCCCATATGAAAATCTGACTTCCCCAGAAACCTTTTATTCGCAAGATCTCTCTCACTCGACTGCAAACCCTAACCCGTCGAACTTTCCGTCGCCGCTGGATCCTCATCGCTGGTTAGATTCTCTCTCTCTCTCGCTCTTATCGTTTTCATCTTATTTTGATTCTCTCGTTGCGATGCGTTCCGCCATGCTAGATCGAAAATGGTTTTTGAAAGCTAAATTTTTGGGATTTGAATTTCTCGATGTGGCTTCTTTTAGTGTTGATCTAGTCCTATTGGCTCGTCTCGTTGACTGCGAGGTATAGGAAATGGCTTCACGCTTTTACTCGCTTTGATAACGCTTCTCAACGATCTCCGTCTTGAATGTTTGTTAATATGATTTTTAACGATTCTCAATTAGGTCTCAGTGTTGATACTCTATATATGTGTCTGTATATGTATGATTACGATGAACAAATCGTTGCGAGTTATATATCCGTGTTTACGATGAGGAATTGAAGTGAAAACTCTTGTGCTTTATCATTTTACAGATTCGTGACGGTTTAGTTTTTGATGAAATTGGATTAATATGGCTGGATATTCAACGAAAGGGGCTCCTACAAATGGATCAGTCTACGTTTCCAATCTCCCATTAGGAACTGACGAGAACATGTTGGCTGAATATTTTGGGACCATTGGGTTACTAAAGGTATGGTATTGGCCAGGTACTAATTGTTTGCTTCTGTTCGATGATGTCATTGCAATCTTTCTTTTCACATGGTTTCGAGTTTCTTACATTTGTCCTACATGGTGTGTTTTTTCAGAAAGACAAGCGAACTGGTACTCCCAAGGTATGGCTGTACCGAGACAAAGAGACTGATGAGCCGAAGGGAGATGCTACAGTTACTTATGAGGACCCGCATGCTGCTTTGGCTGCTGTCGAGTGGTTCAATAACAAAGATTTCCATGGAAGCACCATTGGAGTTTTTATGGCCGAGTCGAAGAATAAAAATGCAGTAGAACCCGTTGAGTTTGTTGGGTTCGATGGAGGTGATCAGGAAACAAATGGAGGTGCTGGAAGGGGAAGAGGACAGGCTGATACTTCCGCGAAGCCATGGCAACAAGAGGGTGACTGGATGTGCCCAAATACAAGGTCTGTGATGTGATCTATCGGTGAGGAGCTTCATCTAGCTCTTGTTTCCGTTGAATTTTTGAGTTTTAAAATGTTTATTATAGTTTGTAGCAGCGGTATCACATACTCTTCCTGTTGGCAGTTGTACGAATGTGAATTTTGCGTTCCGTGGTGTGTGCAACCGCTGTGGAACTGCCAGACCAGCTGGTGCATCTGGTGGCAGCATGGGGGCTGGTGGTCGTGGAAGGGGTCGAGGTGGAGGGGCTGATGGTGGCCCACCGGGCAAGCAGTCTAGCGCTCCTACTGGTCTTTTTGGTCCAAATGATTGGTCTTGTCCAATGTAAGCATTAGGTCGACTATTCTTCTTAATTTTTTCTGAAGGTAACATCGGGTTCGAGATAATAATTGGTCAAGTATCATAGGATAGTGAGTGTTTGATGCTTGAGTACAACACCCTGATATAATAAGAAAAAGAGAACATTCAGATGGCATACGGTGGTGTTGGATATAAAATTAATTTGGTTAAATTCTTTTGAGTTTGACGTATGATAGGACTATAGTCATACACTGTAGTTTATGGGTTCATTGTTTTTGTTAGTTTTTTCGTGTGTCCTCAGCAGAGTCTGATCTAGATAAATAAATATAATTGTGAACTCCTCAGCATCTAATATTTAATCTGTCAATGTCATTCACCGTACTCAGTTGTATGGTTGTAGATATATATGCTTTGGCTTCAGTGTTTGGCATCATATACGTCCGTTATCTAATATCTATTGAACCATACAAAAGCAACTTCTTACTTTTATTCTACCTCACTAATTTTCAGGTGTGGCAATGTTAACTGGGCGAAGCGTTTAAAATGTAATATCTGCAACACTAATAAACCTGGTCAGAATGAAGGTGGTGTGAGGTATGACTCAATGAGAAGATTCTGCTGAATCGTTCTCTTGATTTTCTTTTCCAGTATTCAAGCAGAGTATTATGAATGGTTGACTGTGAATTTGGTAGAGATTATAGACGCCTACTATAATGCTCTTCTGCATTTTGAAGGAATGCCTTCTTTTGCACAGTGAATTGTATGAGAAAGTTGTAGCTGTGTTAATTTTGTTTTGTGAGAAGTAATATCAGACTTGTATTTAGAAATGAGAAACCTAACTAAAGGTTTAAGCTTGACTTGCCGGTGCTCTCTGAAAATGCGGTGCTTATCCGTTTCTTTTCTAAGTGGGTCCATTTCTTTTTCTAAATAGGGGAGGTCGTGGTGGTGGTTACAAAGAGTTGGATGAACAAGAATTAGAGGAAACAAAGAGACGCAGGCGTGAGGCTGAAGAAGTAATACATGCTTACGCTGAAGAGCTTTTTGTTTTCTTTTTTTGGGAGCAGTTATTCTCAAATTTTTGGTATATACCATTTAATATATTTCATAAAAAATTCAGGATGATGGTGAAATGTATGATGAGTTTGGCAATCTAAAGAAGAAGTACCGTGTTAAAACACACCAAGCTGATGCCAGACCTGCTGTTGCAGCTGGTCGTGCTGGGTGGGAAGTCGAGGATTTAGGTAATTTCTGTTTAGTTTGAAGTCACATATCTATTTTTTCAAAACCACTTGCTGTTAATAACAAGTTGAAAAAGGTTATAGTAAGGTTATAGTGATGTTCTTCAAATGGTTGAATAAAGGAGACTAACCGATTAAAAGATTTGCTGCTGCGTAGGACAAAAATAGTCATGATCCAGTGTGTTTATTTGGTGTTCATAATTTTTATATCAAATGTGGCAGGTGTTGATAGAGATGGAAGAGAGAGAAGCAGAGACAGGCAGAGAGACCGTGGCGACAAGCATAGAGATCATCACTACGATAAGGATAGACGTAGAAGCAGAAGCCGAAGCCGAGAGAGAGAAAGAGGCAAGGAGCGTGACTATGACTATGACCATGATCGGGACAGGGACCGAGACAGAGACAGAGACTACGGTCGTGGAAGCAGGTACCGTAACTGAGAGATTACTCAAAAGTGCTATGGTTTATTAGTCTCTCATCTTTTCTAATGTTTTATCGACTTAATTTCTTCTACAATGGTAACATTCCAATTCCCTCGCTTTTTTCTTTTTGCTTGTATGAAGTAAAATTCTTTGTTTGTTAATGTTCTGAGGATATCCCATGATATCATTCATTTTTAAAAAGGAAATGAATGATGTCAATGTTCCCACTGTTTGCTTTAATTTGGTCATATGATTTCGTATCTTCATTTAGCACAACAAACTCACTGAGAAAGGTCAGAAGACCACTGTGTTGCTTCCCAAGAAAGCTCAGAAACAATTTAATTTTTTGAACTGGGAATATCTATCAGAAACAAAATAAAAAAATTCGAGATATATATACGCATCTTTTTATAAACAAAATTTCTTAAAAAACACAACAATTTTAATTAAATTCTTCTCTCAAAGCTAGCTAAGAGCAAGTTCTGTAATGTCTAAATGTCCATACTCATGAGTTCACAGTTAGTTAAACTTGAATTATATTTATTTTCACCAATTAGGCTCCCATCGAGATTTATTGATCTTGCATCCAACATTATTTAATTTACTAAGCAACTTTAAATAAACGTGTTTTGGACTAGGAGTCACTTCCAAATTTCTACACTAATTACTCTTCCGAAAATCAGGCATTCATGCTTAAGAAATCACACGATAAGTGAATTGAAAAAATAATTAATTTCATTCATCAAAAAAATTTCCAATTGAGACTCGTAAAGAGACCGTTGTAACAGAGTGTAGAGAATACACACAACAGCAAAATAGAATGTTGACCTAGTCAGTGCATATAAACCTAACTTCCTCAGTGTCGTAATACATATACAATAGCAAAATAGAATGTTGACCTAGTCAAACCTAGCAATAAGAAGAAGAAAACATCATCGGATCAACATAAGAGGCCGTCTGATTCCATGACGCACACTGACCAAGCTCAAGAAATGGGTTTAGTGCCGGAATGTTGTTGTTGATGCAGCTTCCATCCCCAACAAATCCTTGTGCCCCAAGTAAAGCCGAACTCATATTGTTGTTAAACGGAGTCAACACTTGGTCAAAGCTTGAAGAAGCAGAGCCTCCCAATTGAGTAAAAGTAGCGTTGTCATGGTTGTAAAGGAAAACTGAATACTTTCCCTGAGAAGGATTCAACGAATCAGTTGCGACGCCACATTGGTTAGCAAAAGCACGGTACAGGGCTTGATCTTCAATTAGCGAACTTGATGGTAAATTAATGAACGGATCAGAAGAAGAAGAAGATGGTAAATCCATCGAGGAGAAGGTTGACGAAAAAACCCTAACTTCTTGACTTTGTTCGGACCTACAATAGGACAAACCCGCAAGAGGGCTCTGATCGTTTGAGAAATTCGTCAGCGGATTCTTGGATAGTGAAGAAGATGAATCCTTGGAGATGAAGGCAGAGGAAGGAACCATAAATTTTCGATTTTGATCTAGCTCGGTCTGGTGATCTTGGGGCTAAAGAAGCCGGCTACGCCTGTCCTGTAATATCTGTTGAATATTTTGCAAAGAAGCTTCAATCTCCAAGACTCTCGGTGAGAATTTACCATCGTCTTTACCCTCAGGAGTTCTCTTATTCTCGTTGTTCATCTTCTTGTTTAGGAATTGAGAAAGGTTTGAGAGCTTTTCTTGAGTTTTTCTTTATCGCTTAATCTACTAAACCGCTCAGCCAAGTCTCAGACTTTTGATTGATCCTCCGGCCATATCTGGATGAGTTCTCCGTCACAGCTGTAATGGATAACACAGGCTTCGATCTCACATAAAGCCAAAAGCTCTAAGGCTTTCTTGAGAAGGGTCTGTTCCTTCATGCCCAAATTTGTGGTTTTCTTGAAACTAGGTTTTCTTCTCACGAACAATTTGGTGTTCTTCCTCGCCGAAGAAGAAGAAGAAGAAGAAGAAGAAGAAGAAGAAGAATCCATCGTTGAAGCAACAAAAGGGGAAAGGGAGAAAATAGTGTTGTTTGAGAAACAACAGAGACTGGGATAATGAACAGTGAACACGCGACGAATGTTTAAGGTTGGGGGGTATATATAGATATGCAATTTTGTTGCTGTCTCGGATTAATTTTCTTTTTTGGAGAATCTTAATATAATCTGTTCATTAAATGATGATCCGATAATTTCCTTAGTCTCCAATTAATATAGCCGTTGGGGATTTTACAATACGGATACACATTTTCAATTGTGTATATAATAAATAAATAAATAAATAATTGAATATCTTTTTCACTCTCTCTTTCGCTGTTACTGGTAGTTGGATAGATTCTCAGATTCGTTGCTCCTCTGATTGGCCTAATAGGAAATTTCGAAGAAATCATGAGAAATTGAAAGAGAAATTGCTGAAGAGCACAATTTGAACACTAAATGAAGAGCTTTTCCCCAGGTGAATCTGGTTCCCTCATGCAAGTACCACTACAGATATGAAAAGACAAAGCAGACGCACCTCTGATTTGCTAATCTTGGTGTATATATATGGGTCTCTGAGCTCAATTCAACAATGTTCTTGATGAGTCTGTGCTGCTACGTGGTCTGTCCGTATAAGCCGCTCAAAAACAAAAGCTTATCTGAGGATGAGCTATAAATGTTAAATGCTTCTCCAGTGGCACCACAAAGCTTTCAATTCAGAACTGTGAACCAGTCTTGGAAGGTCATCATTCTGCAAGGGTCTACAGTTTGCCTACCAAAAAATGAAACTTTATAATGAGGAACAGGTCTTGTCTTCTCAAACTGATATGGCTTCTGGTTCTTCGAAGCGAGCTCCATATGGGTTATCCTGGTATCGAGAAGATGTCCCTTCAAAGGTTGGATACACAGCTTTTGGCTGGTATGCATATTCAAGGGTTATTGGAGCCTCCCAAATGCGAGAAGATGATAATCAGGTTGCTCATCTCACTACACCGGAAATAACTGATTCAGACGATATTCATACAGCCTGTAAGTGGTGTTTATGACAATCTCCGTCTGCACCAGCCACTTGTGAGCTGGTATAGATGAAAGGAGGAGGGATTCTAATATATAGCTTCCTCTGTTGGCTTTTTGTACTAAAGACACTGACCCGAGTTGTCTTGTATGCAGTTCTCAACCAAAAAGCCTCTTTGACTGCTGTTTCAAATCTCCCTCCCTTGTCAAATCACAACCTCAGAGATCGTCGATTCAAACTCTCGATCTGGACTCAAAGGAATCATTCCATTGTTTCACTCATAGACTCTCAGATCCAAAGCTAACGACTTTTTGGCTTCCCAGATGTTGCAGGTGTGGTTTTCAACACACTCTCCAACATATAAGCTGTGCCGTCTACTTGGTTGATTTTTTCTTCCTCGTTCAACAGCTTCCTTTCTCAGATCTCCTCCTCAGACATTGTTGGGTTCAACATGTTTAATTTCACTTTCTTTACTAATTTGTTGGGCCTCCTATGCCTTCATCCATTATTGGGTTTTCACCAGATTAACAGTTGACTGTGAGCTAGGCTGTATGTTTTTTTTTTCTTCTTATTTAATGCAATAGTAAATCTTTATTTAAAAGAAAAAAAATTGAATACTTTTTTTGTTTCAAATTTATATGTTTGAAATGGAATATCTATATCAGATATATATATATATATATATTACGCATTTTTAAAAAAATTCCAATATATATTAAAAAAATTATAGAATAATTTTGTTAAAAACAAATCGACAAATGTAAATAATATAGATAAGAAAAATTTCACTCCATTATACTTTTTTCTGATAGTTGTAGTAACATAAAAAATTACAATTAATTAAAAAATATTAGATGCAGAAAAGAAGAGAAAACAAAAAAGGTTCAAAAATATGAAAATAAATTAACAAACAAATTTAGAACAATCCTAAAGCAGATGCAGTTTGAGATCTCCAGTGTCTAGCTTTTTCAACCCATTTGTAAAATTCTCAATATTATCAATAATCTGATCAATCTCTTCTTGTGTGTTCATAACGAAAGGACCAAACTGAACCATTGGTTCATTTATAGGCTCACCACCCACAAGAATAAACCGAAGTGGCAAAAGAGAATGCTGTGACCAGGGACGGATCCATGTTATGGATGGGTGGGGCATGTGCCCCATACTAAATTTATAAATAATATATATATATATATATATATATATATATATAACCACTGATTTTGTAACTAAGATATTTTTTATATAAATCTAAATTCAATATTTTCCATGTTCTTCATTTTCTAATTTTATTTATTTATTTAGTTTTATAAATTTTTAAAAATTAATGAAAACTATAATAATTTATGTTATAATTTTCATTGTAGCTAAATTATTCTTCATATAAGTTCAAATTTAATCTTTTTCTATGTTCTTTATTGTTTCTTTTTTCAATTTTATTTATTTATTTCAAAATTTAACAAAAACTATAATAATTTATGTTATAATTTTCAATATTCATAATATATTTTAGTTAATTTAATTATATTAAATATTTATATATGTTGTGTCTCATATATCATTATTGTCTGCATGCGCCCCTGGCTGTGACCTGTTTTCCCCAGATGGCCTTGGCCTTGAAGAACATAGACAAATACAAAGTCTGTGATGTGATATCGGTGAGGAGCTTCATCTAGCTCTTGTGTTCCGTTGAACTTTTGAGTTTTAAATTACTTTTCATAGTTTGTATCAGTAGTATCACATACTCCAATAGAATGCTTCCTCTTCTTGTTCATGGGTGTTCGCTGTATTATCCAAATCTAATAAGAACATGAAGATTTTTGTGGATAATACACATTCTCAAATCTAAAAGTGGATTAGAAGAAAATGGGCTTTTGTATTTCGAGGGGACGGGAAGGTATATTTTAGTGTCGTGTCATTGTCAAATACATGGTCGTATTTGGAAATACGATGATAAAGCTCGTAGTGGACTCGCACATCTCACAGAAAAATTCATTTTAGTATAGACCCCACACATTCACATGCATTGACAAGGAGTTTTAATACAATCATAGAACATTAAAGATCAAAGTAATGAAAGTAGAGTAAAATGTTAGGTTAATATTGATACACTGAGTTGTATATGATCTAGCCATCACAATTCACTAGATATATTTACCTACACATCTTGTCTTTGTTGCTGAGTCTACTATGAGTACTTACATGCGTAGTTCAAAAATATCAAAACTTTGATGATTTCATCATTACATAATTGAGTTGCGAGAAATTTTGACTAGATGTCTTAATCTAAAGTGAATTATTTTAGGCTATAACATTTCTTTTTCTAGTTGTTCTGAAACAGTCATGAGATTGTCTAAGAAAAGAAAAATTTATTGAAGGCAACATGATATGGGGTGGTGATGGCTCTTATGATGTCAAATCAATACGCTGAAGTAACTTTTATTGATATCATCATCGATCTCATAAATGTCATATTAAATTTCACTTTTTGAAATAGATGAGATCTATAATTTTGATTTTGTTCGTGTTTCATTTTGAAAACCTGTACAATATCATAGAGTATGAATTTGAAATATTTTTAAATTTTGAACTGAACACAAACTTTATACTTTGCAGAGAGAAAACAACTACAGTTTTAGACAGTAATTTACCATGAAAAATTGTGCAATTGGATAAGAAAATATTAATTTTTTTAAAGTCAATCCTTCTCAACGAAACAGGAATCAAAATTCAATAGTATTCTTTTTAAAACAACAAAACAAGACAAGCGAATAACAATAATTTTATGGGAATTTGAGATACTTTGAAAACTTTATGTGGTTTTCTATAATTTCTTTTAAAACTATACTACTTCAACATTTTTGTCTTGCATCCGACTAATTTTTCTTTAGTTATTTTGTTGGTATGTATGGTGTAAATAAAGACAAATAAAACACTATATACCATCTACTCATTTCCATGTGGCCACCATAATAATTGCTCTATAAATTCCAAAAAAGAAGAAGTAGAGGAATAAAAAGAAAAAGCTCTAAAGTCACAAGATTCATTAGGCTTCGATGCAATGTCCCCTCTCTACGATCTTAGAATCAATCTCAATGGCCAATACACATTCTTCCTCAATCAGGTAAAAATTCAGACCTGAAATTCGATTCAAAGTTATAAACTTGATTGCGCTCTCTTCTAAGAAAAGTTCTTATTTATAGGCATGACAGATATGCTCTGTTTATCTGCATGCTCTGTTTTAGGAACTGTGTACTTATTTATCTGTATGCTCTGTTTTAGGATGTGATTTCAAAGTACTGTGGAAGCTTGAGGAAGATGATAAAACAGAGCAAAAAGAAGAGAAACAAGAAAATAAAATCTCCAGAGATCATCACTATTGAGATTGAAGATTTTCCAGGTGGACCAGATGGGTTTGAGCTGGTTGCAAGGTTCTGTTACAGCAACGGAGAAATCTCAATCGATGTCTCAAACGTCTCAACTTTGTACTGTTGCTCTGTATTTCTAGGCATGACAGAGAAGTTATGTTCTTCTAATCTCTTGCTTCAGACAGAGAAGTTTCTTGACGAAGTGTTCTACGGGTCTTGGAACGACATCGTTCTATGTCTCAAGAACTGCGAGCAAGTTTTCCTCCACGCAGATTCGTATGGTCTCGTCGACAAACTCATTTTATCAGCTCTGACCAAAATCTCTCGGAATTCAGACGCGTTTTCTTCTTCGCCGTCTTCGTCCTTCGCTTCTTCTCATTCCTCTGAGATGGCCAAGAAGACGCCGGAATCAGACAAAAGGCCAGTTCCAAGGACTATTTCTTGCGGAAGAAGCAATGAGTGGTGGTTCGACGATATGTCGAATCTCTCCTCGCGGATTATCTTGATGCTAATAAGGATCATTGGAGCTTACAAAACCAACATAAAAAGCTTAGCCCTAACCAGTTTTCTTCTCCATTACCTCAAGACAAAACTCCAAACCAAGTCAGAGCTTATGAGGAACAAGCTAGAGTACTCTGATCTAGCTGATACAGCGGTTAAAGGAGTGGTTTTGGCGGGGAAAGCCGCGTTTTCTTGCAGAAAACTCTTCTGGGTTCTTCGGGTCTTATCGAATTTTAGCCTCAGTCAAGGGTCACACACTGCTTTAGAAACCCTAATTGGAGAAATGCTGGATCAAGCAACACTTGATGATCTTCTGATATCTGCAGGAGGAGGAGGAGGAGGAAGCAGAGAGAGTGGATTCTATAACGTGGATCTTGTTATAAGATTGCTAAAAGTGTATGTGAAGAACAGAGAAGAAGAATCAAATATGAAAGGAATTGGTAAATTGATCGATAAGTATTTGAGAGAGATATCTCCAGATCAGAATTTGAAAGTATCCAAGTTTCTTGGAGTTGCAGAGAGTTTGCCAGATTCGGCTAGAGATTGCTTTGATGGCGTTTACAGAGCCATTGACATCTATCTACAGGTCAGTTTTTTTTTCCTTGTATGTTTTTTTTATTTTGCTATGATAAAGTTTTTCTTGAATTTCTTCACCAACTAATAATTGCTGAGGATTTTTTTTTCTCTTTTTTTTTTAATACAAAGTGAGACAAAAAGATGACAAGTGCCAGATAGAATATACAATTTTCTATTAAATTTATTTTGGTTATAATAATTCATCAAGAGGTGAAAACGACTCAAACTATTCTTTTATTCACCATAAAGATCTGAAGTATGAGATTACACACACACACACATATATATAAACATTTTAAGATTTGGAGTCATCTTTAGATTCTTCTCTCTGTCTTGTTACTGCCGTGGGGTTCATGTCAGATTACCCACAATCTCTTCTGTATTTTTGTTCTTGTCTTGTCCTTTTTTTTTCAATACCATTAATAACACTATACCAAAAACTCAAAACCATAAATTTTTTTGGGTAAGGTCCTAAATTCTAATACTATCTATTGCCACTAAAAAAAACAACATATAAAAAAACTATCAATTAATAATTGATCATTTAATTAGGAAGAGAATTTGGTGGATACATCCATTTTTTTTTTAAATTCTAAACACGAAATCTAAAGAAACCATAATAATTGATCACTTTTTCTTCTATAAACCAATATATATATATATATATATATATTTAATAAAAACTACAATTGTGATTTTGGGGTCTAAAGTTTGGACAGCCAACTTCCTAATCTACAGTGGAACTGATAGATGCCTTAAATAAAGAGTCCTTTCTAAATTTTTGTTCTTTTTGTTGTTGTTGTTGTGTAGTCTCATCCGAATCTATCCCCGGAAGATCGAACAAAAATATGTCGATGTCTCAATTACAAGAAATTAACATTGGAGTCCTGCAAACAGCTCGCCAGAAACCCAAAGATCCCTCCAGATATCGCCATTCAAGCACTCAAGTCCAGATGTGATCCCAATCAAGAACACAAAACTGAAGATGTGAAAGTTGTAAGCAAGAATGTGTCTCGTAGTCGTAGACATTCACTTGAAAAGAAGCCTGTACTGTTGCATCTCAAAGGCTTTGAGATACCAACGAAATTAGCCGAGGAGTTGAAGACTAAAAGTGGATATAATTGGAGGGTTATGGGTAGTTTCAGAGAAGGGTTATGAGGTCAAAATCTTCCCAATTCGTATGGCAATCTCATTTGCATCCCAACGTTGTCCAGAGTCTTGTACAAAAGCTATGAATTCATGAAGCTTACCTTTCACTTAGATCCAGTTACATCCCAGTAACTTCACCATCTGTTGATTTTTCATTTTCTTTCTCACACGAGCAAGAGAAGAAAGCTATTACCATGTCATCGCTCTTGCTCCTCCACAGTGCTTAGCCAAATATGGACCATATAGAGATATTAGGCTTAGGCCCATTAAAATGGAGTCAGTTTAGTTAGGTTACGTCTATGTCACGTCTGTGGCGACGATGACACGTAACTAACATTACAGCCACCTCAATACTTTTGTCCACGTGTTTGTCCAACACCTCATTACCGAGACGGATAAACATAGTAGCGGATTTCATTCCTGTGCCTTCTCTCTTGGGAAGATCAACAGAGAGCTTTGTCAAGCACCTCACGTGTGTTACCGCACAGGGTCTCTTTCCCGTCAATTACAATAAAACCATACTTTGGCATCAGACTCCACAAACTTATTCACAACTTTTGTGTTGTCTCCCATTTTAAGCTAAACAAACCTGCAAGCAATAATAACACAGAAGTTTGATTTCCTTAAGTTATTGAAATTTCTACGTCTGCTTTTGATAACCACATGCTCTTTTTGTGATTTGGTTTCCTTAAGTTAGACCGTGGTGGAAACACCAGTGGTTTGGTTCTAGCATATAGTCAATAACCAACCTTGCACTACTTCATTTTTTCTCTATAATAGCTCTATTGTTTAAAAGATGATTGTAGAAAATTTTGTATTAAGTTTGACTGTATAGTTTCTCTTTAGGCTGCTTTTAGTGTGCTGAATGTGGATATCAAGCTTTGAATTTAATCAACTGAGGCATGAGTTGAATATGTGAGGAAATATTGTTATAACATTTTTTGATAAGTGAGTTTCCGTCATAAAACAATCTTTAAATAAGCTTGAAAAGAAATTACATCACCTACACCTAGTATATATTAGTAAAGCATGAAACCACTCACATCATGTTTTAGCATAACCCTAACATCGTTTTAGTTTTAAAACGTATATATTGTAGCCTTCCTGTGGTATTACACGAGCTCTAATCCAGACAAAACGATTAATCATGGATTTGATTAGTAAATTCCAGCGCTTGCTCAATATTGTTAGATCCACCGGTTTGCGTATCCTTTTCTTCACTCAAAATTTTATCCATAATTGTTGTTGTCCTCTTCTCACTCGCCAAGCCTCTTTCTACGGCAATCCTCCTTTTCATCTTCATCTTCTTCTTTTCTTCTTTCTTCAGCTTCTTCTTCATATTTTTCTTCTCAATCTTCATCATCGCCTTCATCTCCCTCGTAGCCTTCCTCTTCTCAATCATCATATCTATCCTCATCTTCCACGTCTTGTTCTCCTTCTTCTTCATATCTTTTTTTTTTTTTATTTACCCTCACCTTCAACCTTGTATTTTCTTTTCTTTTTCTTATGCTGAGCAGACTCTCCGAATCTCTCTTTATATATTTGTTGAATTTCAAAAAAAAAATAAAGTAAATCACCAAACTTCCTTTTCGATTGCTACTCCTTTTAGCTAACTTTCCAAATTTATTTTATTTGTCCTTCTATGAACAACAAAACTTGTGGCGCAAGAAATCTACAATTCTTAAAAAAAAAACACTACTTCCTTTTCGACTTATATTCTTTTTTCATGTGGAATTTCCAAATTAAGCCACCACTCTTCCTCCAACGACTCAGATCCGGTCTATTTGAATAAGCTTAAATGGATTGATTTGGCTATCTATGTTACCAAAGTGCATTTATCTTCTCGGTCACTGGTCTCGAGAGAATTCCACAGTTAAGAGTGCTTGAGCTGGAGTAAAACTAGGATGGGTGACCTTTCGGGAAGTGAAACTGTGTGAGTGAGGGTAAAACACAGGAAATGATTATGTGGGGATTGCAGGGTCAATAAATAAGTCGGTTGGATTCCGAAAAAAATAATGCATCGGACGTCGGATAGGGGCGGGGTCCACGAGTCCGACAGAGGGATGGATGACTTGCTGGTAAGGGCGATCCGAGTGTTACAAGTGATATCAGACCCTGAAAATTTAAACTGGTTCTGTCTTAGGAGACTGTCTTGGAGATTTGGGAGTTAAGGCTCACACTGTCGGAATCAGAATTCGGGGACGAATTTCCGTTTAGTAGGAAAGAATTGTAACGATCCGGGCCCGACTTATTTAAATAAGTTTAAATAGATTGATTTGGCTACCTATGTCACCAAAGTGCTCTTATCTTTTTGGTCACTAATCCCGATAGAACTCCACAGTTAAGGGTGCTTAAGCTGGAGTAGGATAAGAATGGGTGATATTTCGAGAAGTGATTTCCGAAACCGTGTGAGTGAAAGCAAAATACAGGAAAATATCATGTGGTGATTGCAGGATCAGTAAATAAACTGGTTAGCCTTCAGAAAAAATAACACACCGGCTGTCGGATAGGAACGAGATCCACAAGTCCGACAAAGAGATAGGTGACTCGCCGATAAGAACGGTCGAGATGTTACACTTCCTTTTCGATTGCTACTCCTTTTAGCTAACTTTCAAAACTTATTTTATTTGTCATTCTCTTTAGTTTTTGTATTTGATACAGAAAGTGGATAAGCTTTGAATTTGATAAAATGAGGTGTATGAGTTGAATATGCTATGTATAATCATTGATGGTTTAATAGGTTTGTAGTGGTTCTTGGTATGATCCTTGTTTTATTTGGTCAAGTGGCATTTCACAATTCCCGAATTAAGCTAACGAGACATTGCAAATTGTTTATTTATTTGTTTTTCTGATTAATTTATATATAGAAATGCAGAACGAAGAAAGCATTTGAGCAGTGGGGATCACGTGAGGCACATGGACATGGAGGCCAGTTAATCTTATAGGTCCGTTGACTTGTACGTTTCTTGATCTCTCTCTCGATATATATATTTTCTTTTTTTGTCTTGTTTGTTCTTTCCCCATTTGTTCTCTTGTTTTCTGAAATAATTTCATTTCATAAACTGGCACATAATTTTTATTTAGGTTTTCGAGGAATTTGCATGAGCTGGACCAACTTCGGAACAGGTAATAGTCCCTGTCTTTATTTTTATTTACAATCCTTCTTTTTTCGTATTATGAATATGTAACTTGAGAGGTAATGTTAGTTGAGAAGTGATGAACATTATTGAAAGATTCAGCTGATAAACAACTTATTGATTTTTTTTAATAGCTGATCTTGGAAATATGGAAATTTTGAGAGTTCATGTGTTTAACCCTTGCTCACAAATTAATAGCAATAATCAAAATTTTGTATGGAATTTTTATTTTAATTTATTTTTCCTTTCTGATTAGGTTCAAGACTCCAAAATTTGCAGGAAAATCAGAGAAGAATGCTTGGACGTATGTATTTGTAATGTACCATCAAAAAGGAAAGAAAAAGTGATTCAAATGGTTCTGCTGTCTTTCGCCAAACTATCGTTTTGTTGTTTAAGGGGATTCAGATACTTTTTAGATTTTTTTTTTGTTTTTATATGAACTTGTTTTTTATTCTCCCCCAAAACTAATATTTTCCTTATGCAATATAATATTAGTATATAACGTGCCATGCATCATTCATGTGAACTTCTTTCAAACATTAATATTTTTTTGGTTATAAAAAAAGATAGAGAAGACTTTGTAATTAATAAGCTTAATAATTGTATCATACAGGAATCACTAGTATAAATTAAGGACAAGCCAATCTTCAAACTCAGTGCAGCTACTCTCACATTTCTCTTTGGAATACTTCAGGTAGTTTTTTTTCTCTTTCTCCTATTCCTGTCTCTGACTCTGCTAAGCTTGCTTTCAAAGATTTCGTTTCTCGTAGATTTCTTAATCTTAATTGGATTCTTACCACAACCGGAATTAGTTTTGTCACTTTCTTGGTTAAAAAAAAACCAGAACTGCTGCACTTGGTGGTTCTGTGAAACGAACAAATGTTTAGATCTAGATCCCTCGTCCAAGATCTTTTGGTTCCTTGTTCTTTCCCCAAGTATATCAGTTCCCTAAGCATATCAGTTTGCTTTAGCCGAATGTGTTTCTTGTACTTTGGTCTTTAGATTTGTTTGACTCATGTCTAAAGATTGATTGACTCATGTCCTGTAACCATTTAGTCTCTTAATTAACACTCAGGTTGGGATCTGAGCGGCTTTTGATTACTAACAACTTCGTCGCTCGTGTGATGCAGTGAGATAGGCATCTCTCAGACTTTTCAAAAATGTCGGACCTTGAGGCGCCACTAGTACGTCCAAAGAGAAAGAAGATTTGGGTTGATTACTTTATCCAGTTCCGGTGGATCGTCGTCATCTTTATCGTCCTTCCCATCTCTGCCACTTTGTACTTCCTCACCTATCTTGGGGACGTTTGGTCAGAAACGAAGTCCTACGAGAAACGTCAAAAGGAACATGACGAAAACGTTAAGAAAGTCATCCAATGACTTAAAGGAAGGGATGCAGCAAAGGACGGTCTCGTTTGCACCGCGCGTAAACCGTGGATTGCAGTAGGAATGAGAAACGTGGACTACAAGAGAGCCCGACACTTCGAGGTCGACTTGTCTGCTTTTCGCAACATCCTAAAGATTGACAAAGACAGAATGATCGCTAGAGTGGAGCCACTTGTGAACATGGGACAAATTAGCCGTGTCACCGTTCCAATGAACCTATCCCTTGCTGTTGTTGCTGAGCTCGATGACCTTACTGTTGGTGGACTCATCAATGGCTATGGTATTGAAGGAAGCTCTCACGTCCATGGTTTGTTCACAGACACTGTTGAGGCTTACGAGATTGTTCTAGCGGGTGGGGAACTTGTCCGGGCCACTAGGGACAATGAGTATTCTAACCTTTTCTATGCCATTCCATGGTCACAAGGGACACTAGGGTTTCTTGTTGCTGCTGAGATCAGGCTTGTGCACATCAAAGAATACATGAAAC